AGCCACCGCGCCCGGCCAATTTTCTGTATTTTTAGTAGAGATGAGGTTTCACTGTGTTAACCAGGATGGTCTCAATCTCCTGACCTCGTGATCTACCTGCCTCGGCCTCCCAAAGCACTGGGATTACGGGCATGAGCCACCTCGCCCGGCCGTGTGAAATTACTAAAAAGGGACAGTGAACCTATAGGAATAGAAAGCAGGCCGCTGTTGCTGGACTGGGTGTGGCAAAGGGCTGACTATGGAGGAACTTTTATAACAGAACTTTTGGGGGTAATGGAAATGTTCTATATTTGGATTATAACTATGTTTACAAAACCCACCAAACTGTACTTTTTTTTTCTGAGACAGAGTCTTGCTCTGTCGCCCAGGCTGGAGTGCAGTGGCCCAATCTCAGCACACTGCAACCTCCGCCTCCTGGGTTCAAGTGATTCTCCTGTCCCAGCCTCCCGAGTAGCTGGGATTACAGACACGCGTAACCGCACCCAGCTAAGTACGTCTACTTGAGACGGGGTTTCACCATGTTGGCCAGGCTGGTCTCGAACTCCTGATCTGTGATTGGCTGGCCTTGGCCACCCAAAGTGCTAGGATTACAGGCCTGAGTCACTGTGCCCGGTCTAAATTCCTGAGAGGATTAAATTAGTTAATACGAATAGCATTTTTGATGTCTAGCACAGGGGGTGGGCAAACTATAGACTGCAGTGTAATTTTTTTTTTTTTTTTGAGACAGTCTCACTCTGTCACCCAGGCTGGAGTGCAGTGGCATGATCTCAGCTCACTGCAACCTCTGCCTCCAAGGTTCCAGTGATTATCCTGTCTCAACCTCCCAAATAGCTGGGATTACAGGTGTGCACCACTGCACCTGGCTTATTTTTGCATTTTTAGTAGAGATGGGGTTTTACCATGTTGGCCAGGTCGGTCTCAAACTCTTGACCTCATGTGATCCTCCCACCTCGGCCTCTCAAAGTGCTAGGATTACAGGTGTGAGCCACTGTGCCCAGCTCCTGCAGTATATTTGGATATGGCCTATGAGCTAAGAATGGCTTTTTTTTTTTTTTTTTTTTTTTTGAGGCAGAATCTCACTCTGTCACCCAGGCTGGAGTGCAATGGTATGATCTCAGCTCACTGCAACCTCTGCCTCCTGAGTAGCTGGGATTACAGGCATGTGCCACCACGCCCGGCTAATTTTTGTATTTTTAGTAAAGATGGGGTTTCACCATATTGGCCAGGCTGGTCTCTAACTCCTGACCTCATGATCCACCCCCTGTCCCCAGCCTTGGCCTCCTAAAGTGCTGGGAATAATGGCCTTTACATTTTTAAATGAGTGGGGAAAAACCTAAAAGAATACTTTCTGACACATGAAAAGGGTATGAAATTACATTTTAGTGTTCATAAAGTTTTGCTGCAACACAGCTCTTTCACCTATACATTTTCTGTGGCTCGGTTTTTTTTTTTTTTTTTTTTTTTTTTTTTTTTTTTTTTTTTTTTTTTTTTTTTTTTTGGTACTGTGACTCAGATATCTGTGGCTGTTTTACATAATGGCAGAGTTGGGAAGTTTTGAAAGAAATCACATGGTCAGGCTGAGCATGGTGGCTCAGGCCTATAATCCCAGCACTTTGGGAGACCGAGGCAGGCGGATCACCTGAGGTCAGGAGTTCGAGACCAGCCTGGCCAACATGGTGAAACCCTGTTTCTACTAAAAATACAAAATTAGCCTAGCATGGTGGCAGGCGCCTGGAGTCCCAGCTACTTGGGAGGCTGAGCCTGGAAAATCACCTGATCTGGGAGGTGGAAGCTGCAGTGAGCCAAGGGTCCCACTGCACTCCAGATCCTCAGAGATCTTCAGGGCAACAAAGCAAGACTCTGTCTCAAGAGATTAAAAAAAAAAAATTCAGTGTTCATAAAGAAAGTCTTGTTGCAACATGGTTCTTTCACCTACTATTATCTGTGGCTGCTTTTTTACAAAATGGCAGATTTGTGGAGATACCACATGGTCAAGACAGGTGCGGTCGCTCACACCTGTAATCCCAGCAGTTTGGCAGGCCGAGGTGGGCGGATCACAAGGCCAGGAGTTCGAGACTGGCCTGGGCAATATGGTGAAACCCTTTTTCTACTAAAAATACAAAAATTAGCTGGGCGTGGTGGCACATGCCTGTAGTCCCAGCTACTCGGGAGGCTGAGGCAGGAGAATCGATTGAACCCAGGAGGTGGAGGTTGTGGTGAGCCGAGATCCCACTACTGCACTCCACATTGGGCAAAAGAGAGACTCTGTCTTAAAAAACAAACAAACAAAAACGCCAAGCATAGTGGCTCACACCTGTAATCCCAGCACTTTCGGAGGCTGAGGTGGGTGGACGACAAGGCCAGGAGTTCAAGACCGCCCTGGCCAATATGGCGAAACCCTGTCTCTGCTAAAAATACAAAAATTAGCTGGGCGTGGTGGCACGTGCCTGTAGTGCCAGCTACTCAAGAGGCTGAGGCAGAAAAATTGCTTCAACCTGGGAGCTGGAGGTTGCAGTGAGCCAAGATCGTGCCACTGGACTCCAGACTGGGAGACAAAGGAAGACTCCATCTCAAAAAAAAGAGACTGGGTGCGTGGCTCATGCCTGTAATCCCAGCACTTTGGGAGGCCGAGTTGGGCAGATCACCTGAGGTCGGGAGTTTGAGACCAGGCTGACCAACATGGAGAAACCCCGTCTCTACAAAAAATAGAAAAAAATTAGCCAGTTGTGGCTGCGCCTGTAGTCCCAGCTACTCAGGAGGCTAAGGTAGGAGAATCGCTTGAACCCAGGAATTAGAGGTTGCAGTGAGCGGAGATCACGCCACCGCACTCCAGCCTGGGTGACAGAGGGAGACTCCATCGCAAAAAGAAAAAGAAAAAGAAAAAAGAGGCCAGGCGAGGTGGCTCACGCCTGTAATCCCAGCACTTTGGGAGGCCAAGGTGGGTGGATCACAAGGTCAGGAAATCGAGATCATCCTGGCCAACATGGTGAAACCCCATCTCTACTAAAAGTACAAAAATTAGCTGGGCATGGTGACACATGCCTGTAGTCCCAGCTACTAGGAAGGCTGAGGCAGAAGAATTGCTTGAACCTGGGAGACAGAGGTTGAAACAGGCCGAGATTGTGACACTGCACTCCAGCCTGGTGATAGAGTGAGACTCTGTCTCAAAACATAAAAAACAGATAAAAAATTAGCTGGCGTGGTGGCATGCACCCAAAATCCCAGTTACTGGGGAGGCTGAGGCAGGAGAATCATTTGAACCTGGGAGACAGAGGTTACAGTGAGCGGAGATCACGCCACTACACTCCAGTCTGGGCAACAGAATGAGCCTCCATCTCGAACAAAAAACCAGAAACCACATGGTTAGCAAAGCCTAAAATGTTTACTACCTAGCCCTTCAAGAAAAAGCTGGCCAACCCCTGATCTAGCACATTTATTTGGTGCTACCAGCTTCATCATCACCCCCCCCTTCATCAGCTGCTTCTTCTGTCTGGAAAGTTCTTCCACCAGATCTTAGGATAGCATGTTCCTTCTTGGGACTCGGATCACATCTTAAGTGTGACCTCCTCAGAGTTCTTCTGTGGTTACCTTGTTATTCTCTTATCTCATTGCCCTGTTTTAATTCTTGACACGTCCCTTACTATTTGTTTACCTGCTGCATCCTCAGAACTTGGCCAGTGCCTGACTCATAGGAAGCACTCACACTCAGTAACCGCAATGAGCTGAACAGGTGAACAGCTACTGAGCCTGTGGCACAGGGGTCCCAGCACCAGATGTGACATGGGAGGCTCTGAGCTCATGGCTGAGCAAGTCTGATGAAAAGGCCTCACTTAGGTGTGTGTGCACCAGTGCCAGCAGAGCCTTGGCGGGAGAGACAGAAGAACCTGGAACTGCCACCCAGTTCTCATTTTGGCCAATGAATAGATGTGGCACAGTGCTAGGGCAGGACACGCTGGGTGCAGAACAAGGGTGGAGCTGGGGGGCTGGTGGAGTCTGTGGGATCAGCTGAGACTGAGGTTCCTAAGCTGCATGCAGTAGAGAGTTGTACCAATTGGCTGTTCATTTAGACCAGAGGTTCAAGAATCCCCAGGACATAGACCCCCAAAGTGAAGACATACAGGAGGAGTCCCCTTGCTAGGTACCTGCTAACCCAGGCAACTCTCGGGGCAAAGTGGATCCAGATACATCCCAAGCAGGTGAGGGATGAGGCCAGGACAGGACAGTTAAGAGACAGGAGGGATGGCCCCAACCAATAGGAAGGAAATCCAGCTCAAACACCAAGAGGGGAAAGGACCCCTAAAGCCTCCCCCATCCCAACTCAAGGCTGGGGGACTTGGGGCAAGAGCAGGAAGCTGGCCCTGCAGAGCTCTGAAGGTCCACCACAGGGACAAGCATGGAGTCAGCCGGTGTGCAGGTCCAGTAGGCAGCCCCCAGCCCCTCAGGCAACCCAGCCCCACGCCACCAGAGCTCCTCTGGGCAGTCGTGGCTCTGGGTCCCTGAGGTGAATCAGGCAGCGCAGCCAAAGGTCTCTTCAGGAGGCCCAGGGTACTGTAGGCAAGACCCTTTTCCCAGGGAAAGCCCAATATTACCAGGAAGCAACTGGGGCGCCAAGACGCCCAGGAGGGCTCACTGTTGAGCTAGCTAGACACGCTTTGAAAAAAGCAGCGGTACCCCTGCCTCCACTTCCACCCCCAAGTAGGGATCCAGGATGAAAAGGAAGGCACACAGCTTTGGGGAGGGCCAGCTTTGCTCTGGCTCCCCTAAGCCTAGAATGACTCTGTGCACACCCCTCTCTGCACCCATGGAAATTAATCCCATCGTGCCCGGGGCCGCCGCTCTGGTACAGACAGGGGCCCACACCAGTCCTGGACACTCCCTCCCAGGCGGGGTGCTTGCTTAGTTAATTAATTCTTGCCCTGATCCCATTTCCTGAGGGGTGGTCCGGGCGCCCAGCACTACAAGTGAGGTCACTTGAATCCCCCAAAGTTGACGGAGCTTCCTTCAGAGAGACTCCACTTTCTCCTTCAGCCTAGCTCCAAAGCCCCCCACAAAGCTTGGGTAAGCGCCTTCTCTGCGGCCTTGGTTTCCTCCTCTGAAAATGGAGATAATTCCGGAGTTGTCTACTTGACCGGCTGGCTGCGGAGAATCCACACACCTTTACCTTGGAACAATATGCGCAGCGCCCAGCAGCAGCCTCCGGCTCCCAGCCTTTCCTGTCCCTGGGCACCTGCTGCCGTGGGACTCAGCCAGCAACGCCCAAGGCGGCCAGGAGGGACCTGTGCCCTGGGCGCCCGCGTGCCGGCAGCCGCGTCTCCCGAGGGCCTCTCCCCGGCCTCCTCCCTCCCCGGCCTCCTCCCTGCCCTGGGCTTCCTCCTCCCTCCCTCCCCTGAGCCTCATCCTTCCCCGGCCCGGCCTCCTCTCTCGAGGTCGACCCAGTGCCCATTCTTCCCCGGCCGGCCACCGCGGTGCCCGGCCGGGGACCCTCTCCCTCGCTCCGCTCTCGCCACAGGACCCGAGACTCCGCGCCTCACCTCGCGCCCCGCACCGGCCGCCGCGCAAGCGGGTCCGCTGGCTTCCGCGGGTCAGTGGGCCCCGCGCTCCCAAAGGCGCTGCGGGGGCGGGCCCCGCGCCCGGCCCTCGCCATGGCAACGCTACACTTCCGGCCCGCGTTACCGGCAGCCGGAGGCCGCAGTGCCCCGTGGGAGCTGGGGGCGGGGCCTGGAGCGAGCCAGCCGGGGGCGGGGCCTGGGCGGGACATTGGGGGCGGGGCCTGGGCGGGACATTAGGGGCGGGGCCTGAGGAGGGACGGTCGGGGAATGGGGCTGCCGGGTTCAGCTGCGGGCGCCCAGGCGATCCCTCTGCGGCCGCGACCTCCTCGGGCCTTGGGTGAGACGGCGAGTGCTCAAAGGCTCCTGGGACGGTGGTGGAAAGAACCGAATCGTCGTGGGCAACCGGACGGACGCCGGCGGAATGAGTGGCAGCTTTGGGGGTGGTTTCGGCCCGGGACACTGCGGTCGGAGAGGAGCGGTCAGAACTCGGGGAGCCTCCAGCGCCCCACCAAAGAGGCGCCAGTGGAGAGGGGTGCCTTAAGACTTAAGAGGAAGGCCCAGCGCGGTGGCTGACGTCTGTGATCCCAGCACTCTGGGAGGAGGCTGAGGCCGGTGGGTCGCTTGAGCCCAGGAGACCAACCTGGGCAACATAGGGAGGCCTTGTCCCTACCAAAAAGTGAGAAATTAGCCGGGCGCTATGGCGCACACCTGTAGTCCCCAGAGGCTTAGGCGGGAGGATCACTTGAGCCCAGGAGGTGGAGGCTGCACTGAGCCCAGATGACACTACTGTACTCCAGCCTGGGCAACAGAGTGAGACCTTGTCTCAAAACAACAACAAAGACTTGTGGGAAAGAACGACGCCTTGCTGACCGAATGGGGTAAGAGGCCACGAGTATTTAGCCTCCTGAGGTACAGGACTTTGCAGCCTTAGCCTAGGGAACACACCCGAGAGGGCCTCAGCGTCGAGGTGGTGACCGGAGTCCTGAGGGAAACCACATGAGGTCTGAGGGGAGTGTCCGAGATAGAGGGAAAAGGAGCACAACCCGATGGCGTAGCTGCAGTAGCAGGGTGGCACCCCACAGACAAGGCCCCGTCCAGCCTGGACTCCTCCTTCAGGACACCCGCTGCCTGTCCCTCCCTTCCACACCTTGGGATGGGCTGGGCTCCACCATATGCTGCAGATTTTCAGCCTTTTGAGGTGATCATGGTGGGGGCTGCACAAGAAAAGCTGAATTCCCAGAGAGAGCAAAAGCGTATCCCTGGGCCCCCGTGTGTCTGGGGGTCCTTAGCTCTAGTACCAGCACCAACCACTGCTGCTAGTGCCCAGAGCTATCCTCTCGGGCAAACTTGCCCCTTGTGAGCGAGGAGAACCTGGGCTTTGGGGCAGAGTACCTAACACTGGCCTTGCTTGGATGGAGGAGCAGAGACCCTGATCAGATGGCTAGGGAGGAGGAGGTGGCCAGTCCACCTGGACTCCTGAAGCTGCTCCCAGGAAATCACTTGAGTCCGTGTGTTTCCCTTTTGTTCCTAGGGTTGGGGCCTCGTGGCCTTCTCTTCCCGAAAGCCCCACCTGATCATGTCCTGGGTAGGTATCCAGCCCCCATAGCCTAAGGCCTACTAGCTGCTAGGTCTTGAACTCCAGGGACACCCTTCCTTGGGAGCTTAGCATGGGCTAATTACTCCCCCATCTGTTAAGTGGGGTCCTGTGACCTGGCCAGGGAAGATGGGATAAAGTAGTCATGTGTCATCGCAGACCCTTCAAAGAGGAGCCTTGCCACCCAAAGGCAGCTCAGGGGTGGAGACTAAGGCCTCAGGAGAAGCACCCACTAGAATCCTCTCTGCCCCTCCCTTCCAGATTAACCAAAACCTGCTAATTGTGGCAGCCCTCGGGGCAGGCTCCCCTCCCCCACAGCCTCTTCCTCCCTTCCCTCCCCTCCCCTTTCCATCCGAATGATAAAGGGCCCAGCCAGCCAGCCCCCACCCGGCCTCAGGCCCTGGCCCTGCCTCCCACACTGCCCCACTGCCCTGCACCCTCCACCAGGCCAGGCCCCTGCCCACAGTCTACCGTCCTGTATGGGGCCCTGCAGCGGCTCCCGCCTGCGGCCCCCAGAGGAAGAGTCGCCCTCCCAGCCCCCCAAGAGGAGGAAGAAGAGGTACCTGCGACATGACAAGCCCCCCTACACCTACTTGGCCATGATTGCCTTGGTGATTCAGGCCGCACCCTCCCGCAGGCTGAAGCTGGCCCAGGTGAGATGGCCCTGGCCCCTACTCTCTCTTGCACTCCGTGGCTGGACCTTTCCCCAGACCCGTTCCCCACCTACTTCCAGGCTCAAGCCCTGGCCCCCACCCCTTCCTAGCCCACTCAGCCAGTGGGACCAGTCCTGAGAACTGAGGGCCTTGTGGCACGACCCTTCTCCGGGAGCCCCCTGTCCCCTCTGTCGTCCTTTGGTGCAAATATGTTCTTCTTTGGGGAGAACGGGGGCCGACACCCGTGCACCTCTGAGCCCAGTAGTGGGGGAGGGGTGGGGCACTGCCCTCTCCCCTTCCAGGCTCACCATGCTGGCCGGCCACCCGGCGGTTTCAGATCATCCGTCAGGTCCAGGCGGTGTTCCCTTTCTTCAGGGAAGACTACGAAGGCTGGAAAGACTCCATTCGCCACAACCTTTCCTCCAACCGATGCTTCCGCAAGGTGTGGCAGGGCAGGGGCAGGGTGCACGCGGAAGTCCTGAGCATCCGGGGTCGGGCAGCCCCACCCATGTCTGACCCCCACACCCAGGTGCCCAAGGACCCTGCGAAGCCCCAGGCCAAGGGTAACTTCTGGGCGGTCGACGTGAGCCTGATCCCAGCCGAGGCGCTACGGCTGCAGAACACAGCCCTGTGCAGGCGCTGGCAGAACGGGGGTGCGAGAGGAGCCTTCGCCAAGGACCTGGGCCCCTACGTGCTGCATGGCCGGCCCTATCGGCCTCCCAGTCCTCCGCTGCCACCCAGCGAGGGCTTCAGCATCAAGTCCCTGCTAGGGGGCTCCCGGGAGGGGGCACCCTGGCCGGGGCTAACTCCACAGAGCAGCCCAGTTCCTACAGGCATGGAGAACAGTGGGGAAGAGGCCGTGCCCACCCCACCCCTGCCCTCCTCTGAGAGGCCTTTGTGGCCCCTCTGCCCCCTTCCGGGCCCCATGAGAGTGGAGGGGGAGGCTTCCCAGGGGGGAGCCATCGGGCCCTCCACCCTCTCCCCAGAGCCTAGGGCCTGGCCTTTCCACTTACTACAGGGCACCTCAGTTCCTGGGGGGCTGTCCAGTGGGGGACACAGGGCCTCCCTATGGGGGCAGCTGCCTACCTCATATTTGCCTATCTACACTCCCAATGTGGTAATGCCCTTGGCACCACCGCCCACCTCCTGTCCCCAGTGTCCGTCAACCAGCCCTGCCTACTGGGGTGTGACCCCTGAAACCCGAGGGCCCCCAGGGCTGCTCTGGGATCTAGACACTCTCTTCCAGGGGGTGCCACCCAACAAAAGCATCTATGACGTTTGGATCAGCCATCCTCGAGACCTGGCAGCCCCAGCCCCAGGCTGGCTGCTCTCTTGGTGCAGCCTGTGAGGCTCCTGAGGCAGGGGCTACTCCTCCCTCCTGCTCCCATCCCCGGCTTGTTGACGGGGAGCCAAGGCCAGTGGGGTGTCTGCGACCACGGCAGCCCCAAAACACCAGGCAGCAGCCTTGTTGGGAGTCCACGGTGTTTATTGGACTACCTGATGCGTGGCCGTGGCCCACCTGGGCACAGCCCTCGCCCTGGTCAGTCATGCCTCTTTCCTTACACCCAGAGGCAAAGCTGGAGGGGCAGGGCTGAGCCTGGAATAGCCCTTCCTAGTTTCCTCTTCTCAGCCCACCACCCATCCATCCGTCTCCAGCCATCACCTCCCCTCCCTCCCTTGCTCCAGGCTGGGGGAGGGAGAGCCTAATGGTGGATCCAGCCTGAAGTCCTGCCCTCTCTCATCTGTCTGGGAAGGAGGTAGCACCTTTTTCAGGAAAGGGGTTAGGGAGTAAAAAGACTGGACCCTACGTGATCCTGATGGTGGGGAAGATAACAGTAAAGGAATTTGCAACGTTTTAATGCCATGCCTGATTTTTGGGTCAGGAGTGGTGATTTGGATAACCACTTGGGGTGGGTGGGGGGTGTCGGGATTCCCTGCTGTGTGCCGTGATAACAGCAAATGGTGATAAGGAGGAAGGAGGCCTGCTGCCAGATGCGGGGCTGGGGGCGGGGGTGTGGTCACTTCACCAGGCACGACACACTGCGCTGGCTGCGGAGGCGGAGGGGCGACTCTGGGAGTTTGGGGGCAGTGGACCCAAAGAGGCCAAGGAGCTTGTGCCCTGCGAGACGGGGTACAGGGACTTTACTACTGCCTCTGCCAGCAGAGACCTAGCCTGAGACCCCTTGGTCAGAGCTGCCATCCAAGACTACAGGGGCAGGCCCTCTGCAGGCGCAAGGGCCGAGCCGGACCCGCTGTCAGGTCTGGGGCTTGGAGGGCTGCCAGGGGACGGTGTAGGGGTGCAGGGAGTCCCGGTGAGCGGAGTGTCGGTACTCAGGGAGGAGGGTGTCCCGGAGGAGCGTGGGACCCTGCGGCGGCGGGCTGGCCCCAGCTCCACTTGACCCACTCGCTCGGCGAACTTGAGTGAGCAGACTGTCTCGCCCAGATCCTCCGGCCGCGTGGATATCTGCGGGCAAGTGGCGCCGATGGGCGGGCCCGGGTGGGCAGCGCCTGGGATGCACAGCCCCGCC